GGGGGGCGGGGCAGGGAGGGCTCCCACCACCCACGTGATCCTCCCCCAGGCCAGCCTCTCTGGGTTTCTGGGCTGTAACTGGAGCTGCCCTGCCTGTGAGCCTCTGTGCCAGGCAGAGCTTTCAGAGTGGGGGAAGGGAGAGGAGGGCTGGATCCCAGCTCCTTCCCCCTGTTCCCTCTGTACTTGGGGTGGGGAGGGAAGCCCCAGCACAAGGCACAGAGAGGCCCCCTGGCTCTGGCCCAGCCCTGCCTGGCCCTGCCTGCCTTGGGCCATCTCCTCCTCCCCCTCCCCTCTGGCTCCTGCCCCTTTATTAAGCCAGGAGAAAGGGCCCCAGACCCAGGCTCAGCCAGTCACTGCTAGCCAGAGGCTGGGCCTCCATGCCTGGTGCTATCCTGAGTGGACTCCAGCACCAGGTCCCTTACCTTCTCTGCCTGTGGGGCTGGCACAGAGCCTGCCATCCTCCAGGACCTCGATCCACCAAGCTGAGTCTTGTCTCTCTTGTCTGGTGGCAGGGGGAGGGGGGAAGTGGGGTGTACCCCCAGCAGAGGCAGCAGAACTACTTTCTATGCTACCCACGGGGCAGGACTTGGGAAGCCTCACTTGAGGGGGCCTTTGGGATTAAAGAGCAGGGCCAGAAGGGCTAGCTGGAGAAGCCACAGGGGCTCCAAGCCCTCCTGACTTGCCACACAGCCACTGGCCACACTTCCCTGAAGGTACAAAGTGCAGAGAAAACATGGAGAAAAAGAGGGATGCTACAGGGGTTGGGATGGAGGGCGGGAGCCAGCACCCTGAACGCCACCCTGTGGGTCTGATCTTCCCAGAGAGAAAAGGCCAGCAGCAGGGAGACTCCAAGCAGAGCACAGCGTGGCGCAGACAAGCCTAGGGTGTGTCTGAAGCCTGGTGAGCAGACCCATGGCTGAGCCCGGACAGCAAGAAGGCACAGCTGGCTGACAGGCCATCGTGACTCACCGTGGACCTGCAGCCAGACAGCCAGCCTCTGACCCTCCCTCTGCCCGAGAGGGTGAGGCAAAGGCTGCACAGATGGCATGCAGGGGCGTGCCAGGCTCTGCACAGCCTGGGCCCCAGGCGGGCCAAACCCACAGCCACAGCTCTGGCTGCGGGGTGGGGTCTCCAGGGTAAGGAGACAGGGAGCTGACCCTGGAAGACAACCCAGGAAAAAAGAACAGGAGGAGGGGGAGGGGGGAGAAAAACACAAAGGGAAAGTTTCCCATGAAAATATTTTATTTTCTTTGAGAACAGGATACACCTGCAGGGCTTCTCGCCCAGTCGGCCTCTCCCCGCCCTGGCAGTGCCACATTTCTGGACCAACGGGGCCCTCTGCCGGCCAGGACGCTGCGCGCCGGCGCCTGGTCCAGGGGAGAGGGAACAGGTGACGACGGGTGGAGGGCGGCAGCCCGGGAACGGCCGCAGGGCACGCAGGACAGGGACTGGGCAGGAGGCGAGGGTGGCCTCGGCTCCAGGAGTGGCACGGGGTAAGGAGGCGGGGAGACTGGGGAGATGCGGAGGGCTGCCCACACGATGCCACCCAGACCCCAGTGTGCCCATCTGCAGAGTACAGCGAGGGTCCCCAAAGGTCGCCCGGCTGGACATCCCAGATCTGGGAGCGAGAAACGAGGAAGGGCAGGAAGGAACGTCGGAGAGAGACGAGCCCAAACCACACTAACTGCTGCTGCGGAGAAGCGCGCAGGACAGCGACCCTGGAGGCGGCGGGAGGCAGCATTCACGGCTGGGCTGGGCCCTGCGCACCGGAGAGATCCCACAGACGCGCTCCCGCGGGCCGGGGCCCGAGCGAACGTCAGAAGCAAAGCGCAAGAAAAATAAAATTCCTCCAGTCTGGAGTTTTTTTTTTCCCTTTGGGGCTCAGAGCAAGGAACATCTGGATTTTGTACGTATTTTTTTGTTGTTGTTAAATTAACTTCTCGAGGAGAGAAAGGAGGGGGAAACTGTAAGGGGGGGTGTGTGTGTGCAGGGGCCAGGGAGGCTCCAGACGTTTGGCAAGAAATCCTGGCCTAAGGGAGCCGATAACCAGAGCTTGGTCCCGGAGCTCCAGAGCTCCAGGGAGCCTCACGCACGGCCGCGGGCGCGGCCGCAGCGACTACGGCTCCGGGGTCACGGAGGACCGGGGCCTCACGCCAGCCCGTCGGGTACGCCGGCCCCTCTCCGCGCTCCGCGCCACGGGGACACCGACTCGCGGACCCAGCGACGCGGGATCCTCAAACAAACAGCTCCAGGCAACCCGGGGGCCCTCGCTAGCCCGGGCACCGCGCCCCGCGCACCTGGGTCGCCCCCGCCCTCGCGCCCGCGCCGGCCTCGGGCACGGCCCGCC